CAAAAATATTATAAGTCAAGTGATAGCGATTGCTGTACGAGTCGTACGATTTTTGAATCAAGCACGGGCAACGGAGCCTGACGTTTGCGTCCAGCATGAAACAGCATGTCGCTATTTCGACCCACAAGATTTAGTTGTAGGTCTTTTCAACTCATCTTGTGGGTCGAAATATCTATTAGAATGAGGTCATTTTGGATTTCTATTCTATGTAATTTATATGCTCTATTATAATAAATACATTGAACTCTTTTTGCGGATCAGTTTTAATATTTAATGTTAGGATTTTACTTGGAATATTTACTCATCATAGATTGTGAAACTTACAATTAAGCGATCACTAATATTTTAAAAATAATTTGGAATTTCTTTTTGTGCGCGTATAAAGATGCTGATTCTTATAATCATAGACGCCCATACACAACTTTTTCAGATAATCATAAGAGGTACAGTAAATTGGTAATAAATGCATAGCAAATGTTGGTAAATTTCTAACATTTCCTCAACAAGCGTCTTTGCAAGTAAGACTGTAAAGCCAAAGTACCTAAAAATTCAATAAAATCTCAGAACGCTTAACATTACAATTGTCTTCAATATTCCTCGTGAGGATTAAGTTTTCCAAGCCCTCTTTCCTCATTATGTATCCAAGGAATTTCTTTTCCTGATTATGGGGAAAAGTGTTCGCGCCGTTACCATTTTCTGTAAGACTTCCTTGTTTCTTATCACTCCATCCATGGAATCCTCAGTATCCTTCTGTAGAGAGACATTCTCTTGCATCTCGTTTTCTCCTCATCTGGGGAGGGGGTTGTCCCACATTCACTGCCATATACGTTGATGGATGTCACATAGAAATCCAACACTTTTCTTTATTTCTAACAAAACGTTTCCGCTTCCCAGTAATTTGCTTAGTTTTTGGAATTATTTCACTCGTCCAATGATTTTTGGATCTATGTATCACATTTTCCATTCTTTGTTAAAACGCTTCCCAAATATTGAAAAAATTCTGCACCTGTTTCATGCTTATGACTAGCACCTCAAACAAAGACGCTATCTAAAGTTTAAATTGCATTTTTAAAAATGAAAAAGAAAATATCGAAGCTTTTATTTAACTTTTAAATTTCAAGCTAATAGATTAAGTTTAACATTTCCAACAAGCAAGATACTTTGCTGTATTTCAAAATGAATTTAGTTTGGAATGATTTTTCATATTAATCAGTAAAAACACTAAAATCGCCCATATTGACAAACCTATAAACACAACGTAATTCTCTTTATTACAAAATAAAATCATTCAAATTAGCTGATTTAAAGTTTAATCTGATATGAAACATTACATTGACTTATAATGGGAAGATTTTTCTAAGGGGGTGCATAACTGTAATAATTACTTGAGTATAACGTAAAAACTAATTTGTATACATTTTTTTTAACTACCTAGTAATATTAAAACTTAAAAATATTCTGAGCAGTCTAATATGTCATTGAATTTTAGATACCTTCACTTTATAGCCTAACTTACGAAGAAAACTGAGGAAATGTTAGAAAATTACTAATAAATCTTAAATCTACAATAGTAACTGCTCTCGTTTTTCTTTTATAATGTCGCGTTTGGACATCAATGTTTACAAAAATCAACATGTTTATAGACACAAAATAAATTCAATGTTCTTTTTAAAATATTGTGCGTCGTTGAATTGTAGTGAGCATTTCCATTTAACATTAGTGAATACAGTTTTAACTTAATAACAATATCACTTGACCCTTATAAATTAATACAAAATTTTCAGTTTTGAAAGTTTATGAATTATTAAAATTAAGAATGAAAACCTTTCTTGCAAAATTCACCATTCATCGATTTTTTTCCCTTAAAATACTTCCCTTAATATATTTTATACATAAAAGCAGTTAAAAGTTTTCGCTTTAAATAATGTCTTAGTTTTATTGAGATATTTAAATTTTAAGCGCGACAAAAAAAAGTCTATTGGAATTTCGTAGCATTAAAAGAAGTGGTTAATTTTTTTAATTTCTGACCCCCCCCCAAAAAAAAAAAAAAAAAGGAAAAGCATTTCGACAATAATTGCATTGGTGAGTAAGTCCTGAAAGTTTCATTAAAATTCGAAAATTTGATTTTTGCAAGATCCACTGGCGTAGCTAGTGTTTTTGACACCAGGGGCGGCCGGCTCTAAAGTTTGCCGCACCTCACCAGAAGGAATAAGTATTACAATGCACATTTTATTTAAAAAAAATAAATAAAACAAAAACAGTTTAAGTTAATGTTTCTAGAATACCAAAACTGAAACTGCTTACAGATATTAATCAACTGAAAGATAAAAAGAAACCCCAGCAATTATTTATTATACACACACACACACATATATATATATATATTATATATATATATGTGTGTGTGTGTGTATATATATATATATATATATTCACACACAGGTACCGCCACGAAATCGCTATATATAAAAAAAAAAGCATAGCTCGATGAAAAAGACGCCAACCTTGCCGAAAACAAAATTTTATCGTCTAAATGCTTATGTTGTTATTAAGAGGAAAGATCAAAGTTTATTTTAATTATTTTTTAAAATTTTTTCTTCTTTTTAGAACATTCTAAATTTCGATTAAAAAAAACCTTGTTTCTCTTTGTATCACCGGAACTAGCAAAATAACAGACAATTTTTAGCACGTTTTTTGGGTATGACACACAATTTGGAAAATCTTGCAAAAATAAAAATAATTGTCGGATGTTAATGAAACTTTCAGGAACTATTCACAGATGATCGAAATAATTATAAATAGGTTTTTTTTTTTTTTTTTTTATTATTAAAGTCATGGTAGAAATATTTTTTTTATATTTATTACCCCCATAATTAATTTTATGAAAATGCTAGAAATTCGATCACATCGGGTTTAGTGATTACAATAGTTAAAAGCACAAAGTTTTGAGGAATGCAAATCATTTTTATTTTTTATTTTTTTAAATTGGACCCCCTACCTGAAAATCAGCTCTGAATTGTAACATACAAAACTCAATAGAACAAAAATATTATTTAATTTCAAATGCTTTTATTTGCTTTTAGTTGTTTTTATGAATATGGACAATATTTTCTGAAAGCAAAAAATTTTTTCGATGAAAAATGAATTTTTAATACAATTTGTTATTTCTTAATTATAATAGAGTTTTACATTTAAGTTGTTAAAATATAAAATTAGTTAAAAGCCGCATCGTACAAAAAAAAATTAGAGGGCTGAAAGATTTCCTTCAAAATAAGGAGGTAAATAATTTGTTCACTTAAATGTAAATTATTTCACTTTTCTCCTTCCGTAGAACAAATTAGCCTCACGGAATCCGTCAATATGTCATTCATCACCTGTCAAGTGACGCAAAAGTTTATGACCTGCTTTGTTTTATTTTCAAATTACAACTTTTCAGCGCAGAAGCTAAGTTAAGCTTGATTCAAAATATTTTAAATAAACATAATTTCTGATTTTCTTAAAATAAGTTTTGAAAAAATGATAATAGATATTTAAAAGAATTAATATAGCACACCTTTAAACTATATTTTTAGAATATCAATGTTTCTTTCATGCACTTTTCATTGAATATAAAGAACAAAGAATATTTTTTTTTTAATCAGTTTTTTCAATATTCGTACGTTTTTTGTTTTAGGAGGATTGAGCAAGTGTAGAAAATAACTACCCTCCCCTTTTAAAGATTCCAGGTTTATTCAATTTGGACCCCACCAAAAAGAAAGAGATAACTGATGGTAATTTTTTTTTTTTGTACGTCCTGGGTATGACGATAAACTACATCCAGCAGCAAGGCCTCCGATCAGGAGATTGAAAGTTTTGAGGAGCCTGGAACCACCTCCTAATGGCTGTTGTTCCCAGGTCCACCTTGACCCGGGGTGGTAGCAACTGTTAGGGTCTCAACTATAGGTAAGTAGTACCCCCGCCAAGTTGGGGTCAAAGCACTATGAAAGTACAAAAAACATTTTTATAGTTTAAAAAAAAAAAAAAAAAAAAAAAAAACCCAGTAATACATTCTTGTAAAGAAAATTACTAATTCTCCCAAGAAAAATGAATTTTGGCATTAAATGACCCATAAGGTGTTGTTATGCCGCTAAACAATTTGTTTTTTTAATTATTATTCTTTCACAGTCGTGATTAAACCAAATGGCTTTATTAATTGCAGTTAAATAACATGACTTAATAACCATTTCCTCCTCGAGGAGCCAAGTGTCGCCCGTTTGAAAAGCGCTGATTCTGCTTATTACTGCTTAAGTTTCAAACAGTGACCAGGGATTGAACTCACGATAACACTCTCAGCGTGACTGGCATGTCGACTACAGTTCCACGGTGATTATAAAGAGTGCACCGACCGTAACCTCGGGTGTTGGATCTTCCCTAATTTCTATTGACATGAATTCTTTTTAAACAACGAGCCAAACGACTTTCAATTCAACTTTTTCTTTTTTTATTTTAAAAGGGAGTGGATGTAGAATTCCTTGGCGTGGATAACGACAATGAATACAGGTTCGATCTCTGTGTTAAGCCCATTGCTTGAGCCACAATGGACAGCGAATCAGGTCTACAGTGCGACTTTTATTAACTTATTCATAAAGTTTCTCCATAAACACAAACACACTGATTGCTAGTTTGGTCGTTTGATTCAGAGCGTGGCTGGGGTACAAATAAACTCACCACTCCTCGTCGTCCGAAACTTTTACTCTTTAGTCCTATAGTGGACGCAGCAAAAGTCGCAATAACATCCGGGACATTTCCTTGGGGGTGGGTTTTTTTTTTTTTCTTCTTTTCAGTTAAAACTTCTGGGACTTTTTAAAGCGTCGAATGAAACGCTCCTTTACCTGTGTTGTTGTTGTTGGCATTATATATTATATATATATATATATATATATATATATGATAATGAGAGAGGATATAGTCGATAGGATGGGAGACGTTGGAGATGAAGAGTGGGTTGACATGCGTATTTATTACGAAATAAACAAAGAGAGGGGGAGAGAGGGGAAAGAGAGAGAGAGAAAGAGGGGGAAGAGAGGGAAAGAGAGAGAGAGAGGGAAAGAGAGGGAGAGAGAGAGGGAGAGAGAGAGGGAGAGAGAGGAGAGAGAGGAGAGAGAGAGAGAAAGAGAGAGAGAGGGGAAGAGAGAGAGAGAGAGAGAGAGAGAGAGAGAGGGAGAGAGAGAGAGAGAGAGAGAGAGAGAGAGAGGAGAGGGGAGAGAGAGAGGAGGGAGAGAGAGAGAGAGGGACAGGGAGAGAGAGAGAGAGGGACAGGGGAGAGAGAGAGAGGGACAGGGAGAGAGAGAGGGACAGGGAGAGAGAGAGAGGGGGAGAGAGAGGGGAGGGAGAGAGAGAGGGACAGAGAGAGAGAGAGAGAGGGACAGGACAGAGGAGGGGAGAAGAGGGGAAAGGGAGAAAAGAGGGGAGAAGAGCAGTAAAACTAGAGAGAAGGTAGAAAGGGGAAGAAGGAGAGAGGGGAAGATTTTATATATATATATATATATATATATATATATATATATATAACACACAAACACAAGGTTAGTTACATACAGGCAAAAATGTCTGACCAAACTTTACCTGTAAGTAAAGTGAATAGAAGTTTATAAAAGACAGGTAAGATTACTATTAGGTATACACGCGCCTGCCTCTCTCTCTCTCTCTGCCTCCCTCTCTCTCTGCCTCTCTCTCTCTCTCTCTCTCTGCCTCTCTCATTATATATTGAAGATAGAGCGCGGGAAATCAAGCGATGATGGGTTTCAGATCAATGTGAACAGGCTTTGATTGATTGATCAATGTGGAAAAAGAGAGAGAGAGATGAAGAGTGATACCTCCCCCCTCTACACACGGAGAGATGAATAAAGAAGAAAAATAAAAAAGAGAGACGAGAGGATTACATACGGCATATAAACAGACGATGATTGCCGAGCAAGCACGACAGAAAGCAAGAAAATAAGCAACTGAAAAAGAAAAAAAAAAGACATTTTCTTTGTCGGAATTTGTATGTATTTGTGATTAGCAAATTCTTTTTCACCTCTTTTTGATAATCCCTATTCATCCCGATTGACATCCCGCACACGTTATTCCATCATCTACAATTGTGATGAAGTTGACACTTGTTATTTAAGATTCACAAAAAATTATTCCCCTCCTCCACGTCCTAGTTTTGCAGGGATATTCTGTTTTTTTTTTTTTTTGCTTGTGTCGACCGGCCACTCCCAGTGTATCAGCAACTATCTATTCCTTCTCTTTTATATCGTTGTCCGGACGATTTTTCTATCACCTCCATTGTTCGAAGCTAACCGCCTTCGTCCCCATATTCTTGCTCTATTCGCAGAAAAAGAAACAAGAAAAAGAAAAAAGATTCGCCGTAAGACCCTGCACACCATTTCTGTCGACAGAGAATACTTCCTCCCAACCATGAAAGCTAAAAGTTAAGATTATCTGAACAAGAGTCACTCCCTTGTCCGGCTCTCAATACGGCCATTGGTCGTAACGATGACTTTCTGGAGACAAGGAGAGAAATTTTTCACAATTTGTCATCAATACGTCGGAAATAGGATTCTAAAAGGAAATACATCAAAGGGGTAAAAGAGAGGCTGAGAAATTAGGGTGGCTACTTTGCCCGCCACACTATGTCGTCTGCTTTATTTGCAATGACGGAGTGGTTCGTTATGGCTGCAGGTAGAGGTTGAAAAGAAGATGGCCGACACGAAAAGCAAACACAATGAGAGGCTCGAACCCGGGAGGTTTTTGGATAAAGTTGTGAAAGGAAGGAAAGTAAAGGAGATCCCAAAAGAAAGAAACGCAGGTGGGGGATAGAGAGTGTTAAGAAAAGATGATAGAGACGGTAGGAGAAAAGGGAGATAAAAAGATTAAATAAGAAACAGAGAGAAAGGGAGATAAGGAAGCTTATAAAATATATGGCGAACGAGAGGAAATGCCAGAACACAGAACGTGGTGGATGCAAAAACTCGTGTCAATCTCTCGAAAAGAAAAGAAAATAGATTGAATACCCCATTACGCCTATATACAAGTTAGAAGAGTTTAAGTAATCCAACCAGAGTGTGTGTGTGTGTATATATATATATATATATATATATATATTTATATTTTCTTCGTAGATGCTAGGCGTAGGTGTTCAAGCCCGTATTGGGAAGAAAAATATTTTTAATGCAAATTTTCAAGATTTTTTAAAGTTTAATTGCGTAATAATATTCCTACAAAACGAAGAAATGGTTAAACTAACCTGGATGATCATAACGTTCGAACCTAAATGGGCGCGGAATATTTGTGGCCTTGTGCCAAACAATAGTAAAAAAAAAAAAAAAAAATGGAAACTTTTGATGCTGTTCTCTGATGGTTTTGCTTTCGGAACTTCGTTACTTGCCAACACAGAAAAGAAAATGAGCTGTTTATGATAAAGAATTCATGATAATTCACGAGGATGACCCCCCCCAAAAAAAAAAAAAAATAAAAAAAAATTATAATGGGAAGCGATAATCCATGAGGATGGATTCCTCCCCACCCGGACAAAAAGGGGGAAAAGAGAATTCATGATGATGGAACCCCCTCCCAAAAAAAAAAAAAAAAAAAAAAAAATAGAGAAAAGAATTCATGACAAGGACCCACCAAAAAAAAAAAAAAAAAAAAAAACGGGGGAGGAAATTCATTACGATGGAACATTTCCATCAAAGGGAAGACGATTCATGACAATGGACTCTCCCCACCCAAGAAAAAAAAAACATTTAAAAAAAAAAAAAAAAAAAAAAAAAAAAAGTGAAGGATAATTCATAATGATAATAAAAATAGGAGGGAAGAGAAAATATATATATATATATATATATATATAAATTTTAAATTTAAAAACTAGGAAATTATTGAATTTAAAAATTATATTTCTAAAGACCCTTTTGAATAACAAGTATATAGGTTATATACACTTGTTTGTTATTTTAGCGTGTCCCCCTTTTTTGCTCTTTATTTTCGTTAAAAAAAAAAAAATTAATTATCCAACGATTGTCTCCTGATGAGATGTTGCTTGAAAGGGCCTTTTAGAGACTAATAAAATTAAAATCAATAAATTCCTAGTTTTTAAAACTGTATATAAATTTTGTACCTCTCAACATTTGCTTATATTTTTTTTTCCCCCCCACCATTCTTACATTTTCCCGTTTGGTGGGAGTAAAGAAGTACAAAAATTGGCCACTGTCCCAAGCATCTCCGGTCACTTTAGCCATTCAAGTTTTAGGTGTTGCTAATTTCTCTTCCTGTTTTGATTCTTTAAGATGTATTTTTTTTTTTAGTCGTTTTGAATAATAGGAGCGTTTATTCCGAGCTTTCGTGTGTTGAGCGTCTTTCTCATTTTTTTTTTTTTTTTAGACAAATTTTCAGCACCATTCCCACTGTTAAATAAGGTGAGATTGATAGTGAAAGAGAGATGTTTAATATACAGGGCCTCTCTTATAGCAAGATGTGATTTATAGAGAATATGTGTTTTTGATCAGAATTTTTCTAAATGGTTCTTGTAAAAAATATGTGTCTCTTCTAGGAACAATAATTTTGCTTGTGTTATATGTTGAACGCAGTGGGAATTCGAATGAGCATCTTTTTTTTTTTTTAACAAACTTTCAATACTCCATTCCCACTGTTAAATAAAGTGAGACTGATCGTGGGAGAGAGCTGTTTAATACACAGTGCCTCTCTTATAAGCGAGATGTTTCCGGTAATGTGATTTATATAAAATTTTAGTGTTTTCGACAGAAAGGGTTTTTGAAAATTGTGGGTAGATAGATGTTTTTTTCATCCGATAAATGACACGTGAAACGTCCATTCAAGAGATGGTAACACACAGACACACACACACATATTTTCAAAAATTATAACAAACATATTCTATAACACATTTAAGCAGCATATATTAATTCAAGCAGGTTTGGTTAAATAATTTAGACGTATTATGCCTATTTTGGTTTTAATCCTTTCAAGTGCACGAATTAATTACTTGGTGGCTATAGAAAATTGATTAAGAAAAATTCCCAAGTTTTCTTTCAAATAATTTTTATGTTCCCTAAGTACTTTCCATCTCATCTGGGTCCATCTTCAAGGGGTCAAAATATCCAGTCGCTCCGTAAATTCAAAAAATCTTTTCCCCCCTCTTTACCTTCAATCGAATGTTTGCCATGCAAGGTGTGTAACTTTTGTAATTTTTTTTTTAAATATTTTAAAATGAAAGATTTCATTTTATTTTAATTTAGGATTTTATATAAAACTTTGCTGCTACAAACATTTAAGAACTTTGTTGCGACACTCATAGTTGACCATTTTGAGCTTCAATTCTTATATAAAGGGCTTACAGAATTTTAACTGTTTGCTTATTATTATTTTGATGAAATAATAATGTATTTTCGACTAATATCTATCGAAACAGTGAATGTGAACGCGAGTGTTCGTTTAAACGTTCTGAGATTGAGCTATGCTCATACAAGTAAACATAAGCCGTCTCGTCAACGTTGTCGTTGTAAAAACATTGAATGCGTTAAAACTAAAATAGACATGATACGTCTAAATTATTTAACCAAACCTATATAACCTTATAAATGTAAATATTCTCGTCTAGCAAAACCTTACGTGTTTTAACTTGTAAATGAACAAACTAATACCCAAGGGAAAAAAAAAGAGAAAAAGAAAGAACTAAGAACATGTACTTCCGGTGAAAATAATCGTCTAGAATCTAAGTTCAAAGTCCAAAGAAAAAACCTCCGACACGAGTAAAGTAAAATAACTAAACTAAGTGCTCAATACGCTAAGCAGAGCAAAATAACTAAATAAACCTAAAGAGCCAGAAACGTATGTGGTTTACTTAAAAATATAATATATATATATATATATATATATATATATATATATGTGAATAAAGATTAGGGCCATAATGCATAAATATTATACAAAAAGACAAAATATTTATTATAAAAGTTTTTTTTTTTAAATAAATTTTTACCGAATAAAGATTAAATGGAACAAAATATTATATAAAGGAAAAAAGCTACACAAGTTTTTTTTTTAAAAAAGTTAAATGGAACGAAATCTTGGACAAAAGTTAATAACGATTGATTGTGAACAAAATATCAACAAAATTTAATATTTGGTAAACATCCCCTTATTTTCAATGACTTCTCTGCATCGTCGACCACATGATCTAATTAATTTCTTGCAAAAATCAGCAGTAATTCCCTACCATTCGTCTTTCAATAACTCCCATAGGTGATCCTGGTTTTTCGGGTTTCTTTTCTGAGCCCTTTCTCCAATTATCTTCCAAACATTTTCTATTGGATTCAGGTCGGGGCTCTGGGCTGGTCACTTCATTAGGGTGATTCCTTCTTCAAATAAAGCTATAACCTTCTGAGCCTTGTGGCAAGGTGCATTGTCCAGCATGAAAATAGGAGATTCATAAAGATTATGGTGTAATCTTGGCACCACATGCTGAAGAAGCCTTTTGTAAATCTCAGCATTGAAATTAACATGTACGCGGATGATAGGGCCAACTCCTGCAGATGAAATCATTCCCCACACCATCACACTGCCGCCACCAAACTTAACGGTTTTGACACATTGAGAAGACAGTCTTTTACCTGTTCTACGGCGTACGTAAGTTTTGCCCTCAGAACCAAATATAGTAAACTTGGACTCGTCACTGAAATGAACTGTAACCCATTGTGCGTCAGTCCAAGCAACATGTTCTCTCGCATACTCCAGGCGCGCCCTTTGGTTTCGCTTTGAAATGAGAAGCTTCGAAGCTGGAATACGGGCATGCAACCCTGCATTTTTTAACCTGTGAGCAACTGTTTTCCTTGAGATCTTATCTGTCTCTTCATTAAATTTACGGTAAATTGATGTAGCATTTTCAAAACGGTTTTTTGTAGATATTCTAACAATTCTTCGATCTTTTCTTTGCGATGTTTTTGGAGGTCTGCCAGTTTTTGGTTTTGCATCTAATGTTTTATCGGTTTTATACCTGCTAATTACACGATGAACGACACTTTTAGACCTATGAACAATATCAGAACAATATCAGAAATTTTTTTTTTTCAAAATTGAGAATTTTTTGCTTAAAAAATAAAGTCCTTTATAAATGAACTTTTTAGCGATAAAGCTCCATGAGTTTTTTTGTAAATTTCAAATTATTAGAGCTTTTTCCATTGTTCCATTTTTTTAAAAAAAAAAAAAAAAAAAAAAAAAACTTATATTGTAACTTTGTATTTTATGCATTACAAAAAAAAATAAAGTCCTAATGATAAATGAACTTTTATGTCTTTGTTGTTTCCGAAAAGCTATTATCGAGTTTTTTAATAATATAAATTAAAAGTTTATTAGCAAATTATTAACATCGTTCCTTAACTTTTTGTCCAGTACCAGTGTTTCCTTTGTTCCATTTAATCTTATTTCATCAAAAAAAAAAACCCTCAGTCAAACTTGTCATTTAGTTCTAAATTTTTGGTTTCTGAACTTTGTATAATTTCATTTAAAATTGGTTTACACCTTGGTCAACCAGTGATATGATTTTTCAGTCACTTAACAAAAAGGTGTCGTATGTGTGAGTGGAGTTTTTGTTGCTAACGTTGAGATTGTTGTCTGGTCATCTTTCAAAGATGGTTTGTAATGAATTTCCAGGGATTTAGATGGATTATTTCACCTGCACACCAAGCCCAAGTATCATTTCGCGCCGAATCGGGTGGTTCTAAAATTTGTCTTTCTCTTGTGTTTACTTTGCAGACAAATTCTTTTATAAAGGCGTTATTATAGAAAGGTGCGCGGATGAAAATTTGGTTTTAATTCAGTTTTGTAGCCGGATACTTATTCGGTTTCCTTTTTATATTTTGGAGTAGAGTTTTATTACTGTTAAGAATTCCAGAATAGCTTTGGCTTCGACACTCTCAAAGAACGCCCTAAATGCTGGATACACTCTAGAAGTATTTTCGTACAAGTGCCATTTTTTTGCAGCTCATCAAAAAATGTTTGACA